ATAGAAATTCACATACGTATTTTGTATTCCCCTGATCATCAAGAATCTGCCTACTGAATACTCACCTATGTGCTCTTATGGCGGTTGCATTTCAGCTCCATGTTGCTGCCTCTCAACCTTCAGTCAACCTGTGTGCAGGTGTGGGATGTACCGGCCCTCGACGGTACATTAGCGCGGTACAGGTGGACGGTTGTACCTGCTACACATCCCACCCACACACAGGTTCAGCGTTTTAAGCCCGCAGATAACCACAATGACCGCAGCCGCCACCTTCGTCCGCCCAGAACCTGACAGCTACCTCCCACTGACCGTCACCGCCCAGTCCTTCACCACCCACAGACCGTCATCGCGCCCCACTTTCACCACCCACTGACCGTCACCGCCCACTTTCACCACCTACTGGCCGTCACCGCCCACCTTCACCACCCACTGACCGTCACCGCCCACTTTCACCACCTACTGGCCGTCACCGCCCACCTTCACCACCCACTGACCGTCACCGCTCACTATCTCTCATCACCCAACGACTGTCTCCACCAACTGACTATCCACTAAATGACAATCGCCTCTAACAATCGCCCACGACCCACTGAATGTCTCCACCCACTGAACGTCTGCACTATCAACTCAATGACCATCAACTCCCACTGCTCGCCAGTGGCCGGTTAACAGGATATGGGATTATTTTGACACGCGTGTAACCGGGTAACACACTTTATAGTGTGTCATTGTTTAGTGCACCACAGCTGCCTTAGTCCACACTTAAACATCGACTCATACTTCTGCATATGGCGCTGCCGACCTCAGCATATACCAATAATGTAATCATGGAGAAATGTAAACAAAATTGTATCATTAAATGCAGTCTACATTCACCACATCTCCATCTCGTATAATACAACACACACACATGTAAATACAGTTATCTTCGTACATCATAGAGTGAAGTATGAATGTATGATGTCCCTCGGGCGGAGAGGTCCCACACATCACACTAATGGAGGCTGGCGGCTATACGCAAAGACAAAAGAATTTAGCTCTAGTCGACCACCAATTTCCCAGACGCGTTCCTCTCCCTTCCAGATTCAATATGGCAGATTTGACTCTAAAGACGTGGGGTTTCTTGTCGTAAATTTCCCTCACCTGTCTCTCTGGCCTGGTGCCTTCTGCCCTCTCATCTGAGGTGGGCAGGGCTGGATGGGCTGGTAGGCTGGAGGGCAGGCCTAGGTGGTCTTCGACCGCTGTAATCGTCTCGTCGTAATAGACAGGAGTCCCTCCGTCCTTATCATTAGCTGTACCGACTTCGCAAATGAAGCAGTAATGCTGGCCACTGTTAGCACTCCGTTCGGGAATTGTCAGCAAGTCAATTGCCAGCAGGTGTGGCTCCGTGGGTGACGAGCGTCGGCTGGTCCTGGTGTGGCTCCGTGGGTGACGAGCGTCGGCTGGTCCTGGTGTGGCTCCGTGGGTGACGAGCGTCGGCTGATCCTGGTGTGGCTCCGTGGGTGACGAGCGTCGGCTGGTCCTGGTGTGGCTCCGTGGGTGACGAGCGTCGGCTGGTCCTGGTGTGGCTCCGTGGGTAACAGAGCCGTCGGCTGGTCCTGGTGTGACTCCGTGGGTGACAGAGCCGTCGGCTGGTCCTGGTGTGGTTCCTTGCGTGACAGAGCCGTCAGCTGGTCCTGGTGTGGGGCTCCGTGGGTGACAGCCAGCCAGACGTGAGAGAGAAGGCCAGAAGAAAGCTCAGAGGCGGGATATTCCCTACAATTTTGGGTGACTGGGGACATACTTTGTTGTGCCCCGGCGCCGCCCTCCCACCTGGCTCAGGTGTGGTGATTGAAGGCGTCTGGGATAGAACAAAGGTGCACCGACCCCCTTACCTGTGTGTATGTGTGTGTGTGTGTGTGTGTGTGTGTGTGTGTGTGTGTGTGTTCTCACCTAGTTGTGCTTGCGGGGGTTGAGCTTCAACTTTTTGGTCCCGCCTCTCAATTGTCAATCAACTGGTTTACAGATTCCTGAGCCTACTGGGCTCTATCATATCTACATTTGAAACTGTGTATGAAATCTGCTTCCACAACATCATTACCTAATGTATTCCATTTGTTAACTACTCTGACACTGGCAAAATGCTTTCTAATGTCTCTGTGGATCATTTGGGTACTCAGTTAGTTACCACCTGTGTTCCATTGTTCGTGTTCTACACATGCTAAATAGTTTGTCTTTGCCTACCCTGTCAATTCCTCTGAGAATTTTGTAGGTAGTGATCATATGATCACCATTTTTGTAGGTGGTGATGAACGAGAGGGACCTGAATCAACAGGGACATTAAAGATAAACACAGGTAATTCAGCGAAGATGTCAGATGAAGCTTTGTTAGTATATATGCCCCCTTGAGACCACCATAGAACGATCTAGGGAGCTGGTGTTCAACCCTTTCGCACGCTCGCTCACACACACACACACACACACACACACACACACACACACACACACACACACACCGCTAGTTGAGTACACAACGCAAAATACATCACAGAACATCCCGCCGAGTGGTCACTCCGTTAGTAAGACCTTGACAGAGATGCATGTACTCTCATCGCCTCGAACTCCCAGCCCCATAAACCACTCTCATCGCCCTCTCCCGTTGCCGCAGGAATCCCAGGGACCAGCTACATGGCACTACATTCGCTGGGATAACTCTGCCACTCTGCTCGGAGTTAATTTCAAGGAGTCCCGCTATCTGCTGGGCCGGTGTTAATCTTCTGTTGGCTTGACGCAGGTGTAACATGTTTGGGACACAAGTGAAAGATATTCGGGCATTGGATGGTGGCCCGGTATGCAGGTGTGTGTGTGTGTGTACTCACATATTTGTACTCACCTGTTTGTGCATGTAGGATCGAGCTCTATCTCTTGGACCCCGCTTTTCTAGCCGTTGGTTGTCTAATGCAATGACTCCTGGCCTATTTTCTCTATCATGCCTGCTTTTAAAGTTATAAATGGAGTTAGCCTTTACAATCTGCTCTTTCAGGTCATTCCATTTACTCACTAATTTTACGCTAAAATAAAATTTTCTAACATCTTTATGACACATCCGAGTCTCAAGCTTCCATCCGTGTCCCCTCGTTCTATTGTTATTCATTGTAAACATTTCATCTGTTTCGACTTTGTCAATCCCTCTAAGTATTTTATACGCCAGTATCATGTCCTCCCTTCTCCTTCCTCCTTTCTAACGTCGTCAGGTTTAGTTCCTTCAGTCTGTCTTCATACCTCATCCCTCGCAGCTCTGGGACGAGTCTCGTTGCAAAGTCTCGTTCATGAGTATTGCACCTTTTCGAGCTTCCTTGTGTTTTTTTAAGATGGAAGCTCCACAATGCGGCGGCATACTCTTAGACTGGCCTCACATAGGCGGAATACAGTGATCTAAAAGCCACCTTATTTAAGTTTCTGAATGATGTTCTGACATTTGTCAGAGTATGCTGCTGACGTTATTCTATTTATATGAGCCTCTGGAGTTAGGTTTGGTATTATGTCCACTCACAGATCTATTTCTCTAGACGTTATAGGGAGGTAGTTTCCCCTTCATTGTATATTGACTTTTCGGTCTCCTGGCTCTTGCCCCTATTTCCACCACCTTGCACTTGTTAGTGTTGAACTTTAGCACTCATGTTTGTGTGTGTGTGTGTGTGTGTGTGTGTGTGTGTGTGTGTGTGTGTGTGTGTGTGTGTGTGTGTGTGTGTGTGTGTGTTGGTATTGGTTTGATTGTGGATCTGTTGGTCTGAGAGTGAATGTGTTGGTCTGTGAATGAACCTCTTATTTTGAAAACTACCTTTTTGGTCTGAAAGTAATGTTGCTATTCTGAAATTAATGTTGTTGGTCTGAAAGTATTATGATACACATAATTCGCTATGGAAATGGTAGCTTTCCAAGAAAGCTTGAGTAACAGACTAGGAAAGGTCGAGAAAAAGCAATGATACGCTATCATCTCCACTGGGGAAATGTTTGCAATTGCAACCCAAGGCGCTTATCTAACAACAAGCAAACCTTGTGTCTTGCTCAAGAATTGCACTCCATCAGCAAAGACATATTCTTCCCCTGACTCCTATTTGGAGAAAGTTTTTACTGAAAAAGAGTTATTCGACATACCTCTTGTGCTGGTCGGTAGAGCGATGCCCTAGTCGACGCCTCTTGCAGTGTCGGCGTTCGATCCTCGATGGTTCCTTCACTTTGTCCTCATAGCCCAGCTCCTTGTCCTCATGTCCCGTCCAAGTGCTATACAGTAGTGTCATACTGGCCAAACACTTTCTTCTCATAATTACCTCACCTCTTCGACTGTCCTGCTGGTACCTTCATGAGTACTGACTCATTAATAAATATACAAATGATTTATAGTAAAGACAATAAAATTAGATGAGGTAAGGTCAAGATTCTTTGATCGGATCCTAAATCAAATAAATCCTAAAATATTTGCAAGATAAATATGAAACGGGTCGAGTGTGAGAAATAAAATTAAGTCTGCCTAACTCACCAAGGAAGACGTGGATATATGGAAAACAAAGACGGTTATAATAAGATCAAGAGTAACCACAGAGACAGGAAAAGCAGAAAGTGTAGGAGAATAATAGAGTACAAAAATAGACTTGCTGACAACCCCGCATCACAGAGAAAGAGGCAGAATTTTACGTCTTTCTCACATAATGGCTTTTTACAGGGTAAACTCAAGCGTCTGGTTAATTATTCGCTGGGGTTTGTTGACGTGTGAAGTGGGGAGGAGTAACGCAACGAGTCGTTGGGGCAGCTTGATGGGGGTTGTCAGTAAGGTGGCTGTTGTTATTGATTATTGTAACTACCTGACTTGGGAGGCTGGTTGGTTGTGGTCGACTGCGGTACACTGGTTCTGGCACACTCGTTCGCTGTGGGTAAGACTGGATGACAGTAAAGAGGTTGTCAAAGGGCAATCGTTGGAGTAGGTTGTTGGGGAGACTGGTATGGTTGTTTAATGTGGTTTAATGTAATATTTGGTTCCGTTCACAGTACTTAGTTGACTCTTTTTGTGTTGGAAGGTTATCCCGACAACGCAGCTGGCGGAGAAGGAGGGGGAGAGAGAGAAAAATATATAGAAGGAAAAGCGCTCTTGATTTATTTTAGTTCGAATACACGAAAGCACTCAAGTACTTAATGTGGTCATACGATTTCACATTATCGATCACGTGTTAATTTTTTGGTCATTCACACACACGTATATTTAATATGTACTCACCTAGTCCCCTTATATGCATGTATGCGTGCGTGTGTGTGTGTGTGTGTGTGTGTGTGTGTGTGTGTGTGTGTGTGTGTGTGTGTGTGTGTGTGTGTGTGTGTGTGTGTGTATGAGCGGTCAGGTCTATCTCACTAACAACGTCAAGAATTCTCTGCCATCAATGACATTTTTTGAGACAGCTCGCCCCAGCCCGGTCGTCGTAGTGAGACACCTCGCCCCCGCCCGGTCGTCGTAGCCAGCCACCTCGCCCCAGCCCGGTCGTCGTAGCCAGCCACCTCGCCCCCGCCCGGTCGTCGTAGCCAGCCACCTCGCCCCAGCCCGGTCGTCGTAGCCAGCCACCTCGCCCCCGCCCGGTCGTCGTAGCCAGCCACCTCGCCCCCGCCCGGTCGTCGTAGCCAGCCACCTCGCCCCAGCCCGGTCGTCGTAGCCAGCCACCTCGCCCCCGCCCGGTCGTCGTAGCCAGCCACCTCGCCCCAGCCCGGTCGTCGTAGCCAGCCACCTCGCCCCCGCCCGGTCGTCGTAGCCAGCCACCTCGCCCCAGCCCGGTCGTCGTAGCCAGCCACCTCGCCCCAGCCCGGTCGTCGTAGCCAGCCACCTCGCCCCAGCCCGGTCGTCGTAGCCAGCCACCTCGCCCCAGCCCGGTGGTCGTAGCCAGCCACCTCGCCCCAGCCCGGTGGTCGTAGCCAGCCACCTCGCCCCAGCCCGGTGGTCGTAGCCAGCCACCTCGCCCCAGCCCGGTGGTCGTGGATACTTGATGACCAGCCACAAGCTAAACTGAAGATGTGCTCGCAGTGTTTTGCATCCCTTATATTTATAGCCTCTCGCACGCACGGGAAATACGAGAAGTGTAGCGCCATTCCTGAGAGAACACCGAGGGTGTGGTCTGTGTCCTTTGAGAAACTAGAGAACGTGAGCTATTCCCTTTTTTTTTTAATTTTTCGAAGCGTTTAAGAGCCATTTCTTTTTTGCCTTTCTAAAATGCCTGTTTAACGTTTATGAGAGCGTAGATCTAGAGAGTCAGGATTTACACTGTTATCATGTCTTAAGATAACAAAGAAATCTTGTTTACCCACTGAAAATTATATTTAAGGAAATGAACTTAAAATTCTTTCAGTGTAGAACAAATTATTTTCAGTATTTACATAAATCAAATAAACTTTCTAACTAGCAAGTTATGCGTCTGGACAGGAGTAATGACATGCATTCTGGATTTTTTTAACCTAAAATATACATACAGACGTAAATTTAAGAAACCTTATCGTCCCCGCTCAAGAAGTTCCTCAAAAGAGTACGACATTTTTCAGGAATTGAGGAATCAAAGTAGTGGACAGAGAGGTCAGCCTTGTCTTGTGTGTTGGACAGATCCACAAGATACAAGAATATTTGGCCGTAGTATCTTTTTTTACAAGCAAGACATTCCACCACTAATCTAGTTTTCAGAATAAAAGTTTATATTTTACGTGGATGGGGCAGTTTTGCTTGTCTTTCATCAGGTTAATACCAGCAATAATTTGAACAGAGCCAACCAGGTACTGTTGTTCATCTACCTAACGGAGATTTTGTGAAGACCTGCTACCGTTGTCCACATACCCATCAGAGCAGTGTAGGTCGGTCCTCCTACCGTTGTTCACCCACCCATCAGAGCCAGTGTGTGGGGACTAACTACCGTTGTTCTCTCCAAGAACTTGATGTCCATTTGACGGACACACGACGCCGACACGCTAGGTACCTTCACTCACTACCTACTGTTTTCCCTTCCTCAAGCTGCTCTTGATATTTATCACATTATTTAATGCTTCTTCAACCTACCTGAGAGAGAGAGAGAGAGAGAGAGAGAGAGAGAGAGAGAGAGAGAGAGAGAGAGAGAGAGAGAGAGAGAGAGAGAGAGAGAGAGAGACAGAGAGACAGAGAGACAGAGAGACAGAGAGACAGAGAGAGAAACAAGAGCAAAGTCGCTGAAGTATGCCTTGAGAGCAACGAAAACATTAGCAGTACTATTAAGAAAATGAATGGGTGTGAGCAGGCTATACTAAACCTGTGTGTTGAAGTGGACGGAGAGCGGAATGTCCCCCGCGGGCAGGTGTCCACAACACGTTCATCTTGTAGGTTGCCGCAACACTTAGATCACCGTCCAGGGCGCCCCTGTCAGGCGTTGTTTGGATGGTCACCTTCACGGCATCTTGCGGTCACGACGACACTTTATTGGTGCGAGAAAAGGCCAGATTTGCCGTGTGCTGGGAGGATGATCGCGTTTCACGAAGAGTCAGATTATTCGTGTGTTGCGGGAACACGCGGAGACGACCAGATTATGATTGTGATGTCCCTGACAGCCTGCCATTTGGAGATTGCAAGAACTGCTCTGTTGTGTTGTGAGTTGCAAAATCGGCTGAAGAGGAATCAACAAAACAAGACACGCCAGGACTTACGACCGCAAGGGAACGTATTTACGTCTGTGAGTCAGACCTTGGACAGGTGGATGCATGGACAGGTGCACTAATGAATCACTCAGGTACCCCCCCCCCCATCTTTCACGCTCTTCCCCTCCCACTTTTCTCCCCTCTAATAAGGCACCCCACTTTCTCCCTGCTTCTTCCTTACACTTTTTCTTAGTTCTCTTCCTTTTCGTTTTTTCAATACGAATATTTCCTTTTACGAAATTTTCGTGTTCTTCATTCTGTTATTGTTCGCAACTTTCATATTTTGTTTTCCAAGTTTATTATAGTCTCATCTTTTTTCATACTTTACTTCTTTTCCTCCTCCTCCTCCTACTCTTTCTTATTTTCTTCCTTCTTAACTAGTACACGTCTCTAAGGGTCGTAGACCATGTGTGTGTGTGGGTGTGTATGTTTTCACCTAGTTTTTTCCCTACTTGTACTTGCGGGGGTTGAGCTCTGGCTCTTTCAACCCGCCTCTCAACTGCCAATCAACTGACTTTGGAAAAAAAGTAAGTTGCAGGCGATGAGTCACAATAACGTGGCTGAAGTATGTTGACCAGACCACACACTAGAAATTGAAGGGACGACGACGTTTCGGTCCGTCCTGGACCATTCTCAAGTCGATTGCATCATCATCAATCATCAAAAAAGTCAGTTGATTGACAGTTGAGAGGCGGGTCGAAAGAGCCAGAGCTCAACCCCCGCAAGCACAAGTAAGGGAAAAACTAGTTGAATTGGTGAATACACACACACCCATACACAGGAAGCAGCCCGTAACAGTTTTCTAACGCCCATGTATCTAGTTACTGCTAGGTAACAGGGGTATCAGGGTGAAAGACCCTCTGCCCATATGTTTCCGCCACCGCTGGGGATATATCCCCGGTCCCTAGGATTACGAATCCCGAGCGTTGTCCACTCAGCCAGCATCCTGTGTGTGTGTGTGTGTGTGTGTGTGTGTGTGTGTGTGTGTGTGTGTGTGTGTGTGTGTGTGTGTGTGCGTGCGCGTGTGCGTGTGTGCGTCAGGTGCACCCGGGGACTTGCCAAGCACATTCACCACACGCAATAAACAGTCCATTCCCTGTTTTATTGAGGTCGAGATTGTGGTTCTTCAGCCTGGGTGCTGGTGTGTGGTGCCTCAACCACCACCACCACCACCACCACTACCGCAATTCGCCATTAGACCCGCCGTGCTTCATTATAAATACAATGGCGTATACCCCCCTTACCTCTACACAATATATATTCACTCGCTTTGTTCGTTCTCTCGTTCTCTCTCTCTCTCTCTCTCTCTCTCTCTCTCTCTCTCTCTCTCTCTCTCTCTCTCTCTCTCTCTCTCTCTCTCTCTCTCTCTCTCTCTCTCTCTCTCTCTCTCTCTCTCTCTCTCTCTCCTCGCTTTCTCTCTCTCTCTCTCGCCATTCTTCCCTCACCCTTCCCCCCCCCTCTCTCTCTTTCTCTCCCCAACATATCCCTCCCTTCAACATATCCCCCCCTCAACATATCCACCCCCCCCACCCCCCAAAATATCCTCCCCCCACCACAAAATACTCTGGATTCGGGAATATTTCGCTTTCTGATCGTAATAGACTAGTTCTAGCTGTCCTTCTAATGGCCCAGTTTGGCTGAATCACCTCGTTATTGAGCACTACGAAGCTCTTTGCACTGCAGGTTAATGAAAAAGATTCATTCTGATTACAGCTGAAAATATTGAGGAGAATCAATATACTGAATAGATGGATTGGAAGTGGGAGTGAGCATACTGACTTGGGAGTGAGCATACTGACTTGGGGGTGAGCATACTGACTTGGGAGTGAGCATACTGACTTGGGAGTGAGCATACTGACTTGGGAGTGAGCATACTGACTTGGGAGTGAGCATACTGACTTGAGTGTGAGCATACTGACTTGGGGGTGAGTATACTGACTTGGGGGTGAGCATACTGACTTGGGAGTGAGTATACTGACTTGGGAGTGAGTATACTGACTTGGGAGTGAGTATGCTGACTTGGGAGTGAGCATACTGACTTGGGAGTGAGCATACTGACTTGGGAGTGATTATACTGACTTGGGAGAGAGTATACAAATGTTGCTGGTAGTAGTGGTGGTTGTGATAATTGTAATTGTGCTGGTGGTAGTGGTGGCTATGGTGATGAATGTAGTGATGACGATGGGAGAGGTGATGGTGGTGATGGAGGCGATGGTGGTGGTGGTGATGATGGGATTGGTGATGGATGTGATAATGGTAGTGGCGAGGGTGGTGATAGTGGTGATGGTGATGATGGTGGTGATGAGGGTAGTGGCACAACACGGACGAGTGGCACTTCACCATTAAACTGGCACTCGCTCCCAGGCACGTCTCCAGTTACACACACACACACCCAGTACCGGGGCAGCGAGCCCTTGCAGGTGTGGGGGAGAGAAAGGGAGAGAAAGGGGGAGAGGGAAGAGTGAATCCACTGTTGTCAGAAATGCTATCGCAAAAACATCTGTATTTGCATTGGAAACATGTCGCATTATCTATTAACTGTGTGTGTGTGGGGAGGCAGGGGGGCAGGGGGGCAGGGGGGGGGCGGTGGCTAAGCAAGTGCCGCCAACTTTTGATCCTGATAATGAAGCCCGTTATATGAAAGACTTTATATTATTCTTAAAACAAAAAATTAAGTAAAAAACATAATTGCTACTGGCACAAAGTGTGCACGCGAGTGTGTGCTGTGTGTGTGTGTGTGTGTGTGTGTGTGTGTGTGTGTGTGTGTGTGTGTGTGTGTGTGTGTGTGTGTCTCAGCAAGTCGCCTAAACACACAATACAAATCACCTTGAATACAGAGCAAATCTCTCCTAAATTAAACTGAAGCGCTGTATTAAGGAGCCACATATGTGTAACTCACCTCTCGGTCCTACTGAAGTACAGGCGATGCCGGTACAAATACCTCAAGGCTCGCGTCACAATTACAATCCATGAGTGTCTTTATATTTAATGAATTCTGATCAAATTATGCATCATTTTTCACCTACCATTTGTTTCTTATGCACTGGATATGGTCGTCTAGCGAACGGGGGATGATGATTAAAAATATCAACTAGATAAAAGCATGCAAAAAGGAGATGAAAGGAGATAAAATATGTGTCGAGAAAGATGAAAAGAGAATGGACAAAAAGGTAAAGGACAGAAGAACAGAGGAGAAAACAGGAAACTTTTGAAAAGCTGTCTTACAAATCTTTTGTCATAAGAAATAATAATAATAACAGAGGTTAATAAATATGCAAATGACTGTACACCGACGTTTTCAAGAGATAAGAAAGAAGACGTAAATCGCAACAATAAAATCCCTAAAACTATCTTATCGTGTGGACGACGTTCGCGATTGCTTGTTGCCTCAGAATACCCAACTGATGACTATCTCACGACGGAGGCCGCAAATGTATCGTCCTCTCATAAGACTAGACCAGAAAACACACATACAGCCCATCAGTTAGTATATTAACAGCCGAAAATAATGTGTGTATCCACATCAAGTGAAAAATGTTAGTCAAATGGGCGAAGAAAAACTAGCTAGATTGCAGAGATAATGCATCCTCTAGATGCTAAAGAACAAGCAACACTCAAGAGCCCCAGAATAAGATCTGTAATGAGGTACATGTCACTAATTTGGGATTCCTGTTTACAGTCTTAACTTAGTTCCTATTCAAGACGGGTCTGCGCATCTATTAAAACTCGAAAATTGATGTGCTTGACCCAGTGCCGTGTTCACGGACTGTCCAACACATAAGAGATGTGACTGTGTCTCAACTGCCCCACCCCCTCATTGAACTTTTCTTAAGAAACCCTCGAGAACAAACTACGACACGAGAGGTGCGATAGGTGATAACAAGACAGAGGTTCCTTGTGCACGAATTGAGCAAATTCGACGCTCAAACCACCCAAAATACATACAATTGTTGAACACATTTTGGCAACAGGCTGGCGACCAAAATATACTGTCGCTTCAAACACCTTGTTTGAAGGTGTTTGAATGGCTGTCTGAATGGCTACTACACAAAAGATTTCAATACAAACATAAAATATCGCTCAGCTTTCGATGACTGCAAAAAAAAAAGGTGGAGTACTACTCTTAAAAACCTCAAAATACCTCAGATGATGTAAAATAATAATAATAATATTATTATTATTATTAATAATATAGGATAAAAACCTACTCTTGTGAATTTGTGAAATTTGTGTACAAAATTTGCACCAAGATTTTCGCACTCTCCTGAGTGCTTTGTCAAGGTCTGAATGTAATGACAAAGCACTCAATAGTGCGATATACTTTGTGTTAATTCCTTACATAAATTTCACAAATGCACAAGTGTGGGTGTTGATCCAATGTTATTATGTCTGAGAAGACAATACTGGCGGTGTTATCAAGGGAATGGTGGACAACTCGTCTCTTCCGATGGGAACAAGGGGGTCATAACAGTTTTTGCAAGAGTAGAATCTCTAAACTCTCCGTTATGCTGGAAAATTTACAGTGTTTAGTATTCTGTTACATATGAGAGAGAGAGAGAGAGAGAGAGAGAGAGAGAGAGAGAGAGAGAGAGAGAGAGAGAGAGAGAGAGAGAGAGAGAGAGTGTAAGTGTGGTAAACGCTATAGAGAAAATAAGTCAGGATGTACGTTAGACAACTGATAATCAGAAAGGTGGTGTCCAAGAGCTAAAAGCTCGACCCTGAAGGCACTAATAGTAAATACAAATATCAAATGCGTAGATACAAACACACACACACACACACACACTCACACACATTACAATCCTCCAGTTCAAGATTGTCCAATTCTCCAATCAATACCAAATTCTCCAGTTGATTGACAGTTGAGAGACGGGACCAAAGAACCGAAGCTCAACCCCCGCAAGAGCAACCAAGTGAGTACATAACTTCCACTTGCAGAAGAGTCTATAAACAAGCAGAAGAGTTAGAGGGATGGCAGAAAGACCATTTTTGGGTTTAATGGCGATCTGAGAATCAATCAGATATAAGTATAACGTAAGTATAACATTACATACTACGTCCACCCCTAGTTTTAAGAGAAGATATATTAGTGGAGTACTCTCAGGTAGGCACATGTCTGGCCAACCACCCCCGCAAGCCAATTGGAGGCCCGCCAAGTATACTGAGGAAAGAGAGAGAGGGTGGAGAGGGAGTGGGAAGAATGAAGGAGAGGGGGGAGATATGGGAGAGAGTCGGAGAGATGGAGAAGGGGGAGAGGAAGAGGGAGGAAAGAGCGATCGAGGGATAGAAGTAGAAAGGACTGAAGATGAGGGAATGTGGGGATAGAGGGGAAGGAAAAATAAACTAATGGGAATTAAGGAAAGAGGAGAAAGGTAAATAGTGAAGGAGGGAGGTACAAGCAAAGGAGAAATAATGAGATAAGGGGCAAAGAGGTGTGTTTGTGTGTGCGCTTGTATGAGTTTGTGTGTGTGTGTGTATGCGTGTGTATATATAGGTATGTGTGTGTGTGTGTATGCGTGTGTATATATAGGTATGTGTGTGTGTGCGTGTACTTACCTAATTGTGCTTGCGGGGTTGAGCTCTGGCTCTTTGGTCTCGCCTCTCAACGGTCAATCAAGTAATGTACAGGTTCCTGAGGAACCTCAGGAACCTCCATGTGTGTATATGAGTGTGTGTGTGTGTGTGTGTGTGTGTGTGTGTGTGTGTGTGTGTGTGTGTGTGTGTGTGTGTGTGTGTGTGTGTGTGTGTGTGTGTGTTCTTAAGTGTTCCGGGTGTGAAATTTAACTCTTGACCTTCGTCTCTTACTTGGCAGTTAGCTGGTACGATAATTACCGCTGAGAATTTTTTTTATTTACCTGACGACTATGCAAAGATTGTACTCACCAGTGCAAGGCTGTGACTCTCATTCATGACACCTGCTCTTACAGCTGCCAATGAGAGAGGCTCGTGCAACTACCCTCCTCGTTTCTCGTGCAGTCCGTCCTCGTAGACAATGGCTAAATGCTCGTTAATCCAGCTGTGAAACTCCTCGTTTCTGAGTGACAAACACCGACTCGCTGCAACTCGACCTCAGGCTACACAAGTCCATGTAGCAGTCGACTCCAAAGACGCATTCATAAATTTTAACGAAATGTGTATTAAAAATCAGTATTTTATCATGTAGAAATTTAAATCATTGGCATTGTATATTATTATTTTACGTATAATTAAGCCTAAAATAGATTAGGTTCGGTGTTTAGGTTCTGCTGGCAAGTATTTGGGTTTGTTGTACTGGGTGAAGCAGTTACTTCGTTCCTATTCGAACAGTGGTCATTAGCGAAGCACTGTTCGATAAATGTTCGAAGATTAAGTTGCGCCAGTCTCTTCATGCTGCACGTTCTCGTCCAGCACGTCCTCATTCAGCACGTCCTTGTCAACAAAGCCCATGGTTCATTTCATGCAGCTGCTGAACCTCCTGTTTATGAATGGAAAAACGCTTTACGCACGACTCACAACTGACGACGTTCGAGCATTTCTGAACAGCGCTTCGCTGACGATCTCTGTTCGAATCGTATCTCTGTAAATGTTTCACTCACGTACTTCAAATCCCAATAATTGCCAACAGAACCTAACCTATACCTAAATACGCACAATATGCTAATATATTATAATATTACTTCATATTTGGGAAAAAGTTATATTTTGAATAAACTGCATGTTAAATTTGGAGAATACGTCTTTGGGGTCGGCGGCTGAATGGAAAGAACACAGCTTGAGGACAGGTTGATTGTGTCATTCACAGCTGATGACGTTCGAACGCTTTTCGAACAGTGCTTCACTCACTTTCTATGTTCAACTCGCTACTTTATAAGTGCTTGACCCACGTCAGCACGCCTTCATGAGCAAAGCCCAAATGCTCGTTAAATTAGCTGCTAAATCCGGCCCCTGTTCATAAATGAAACACACATTACACACACGACTCATAACTGTTGACGTTCGAACTTTCCTCGAACACTGCTTTGCTTTCTTACTATGCTCGAGTCACAACTCTATAAACGCATCATCCACGTATTGTAAATAACAGCTATTACCAAAATAACCAAAATTTTTGTAACGTCTTACTTACCCTACGCCTAACCTAACTTAATCTAATCTAACGTAACGTAACGTAACGTAACCATACCTACGCCTAACTGCACACAATTCTAATATACATTAATATTAACAGATATATATGAGGTAATTCCTAGTTAGAATACTTAATACGTGCTTCAAAAGTAAATAATTTTCAACAGAATCATAACACTTAGCCATTCCTAAGCCGAATTATATGCACTAATTATAATGTATAATACTATTCATTCATATCTGAGAAAATACTTTTTTCCCGTACAAAGCAAATCGATAAAATAGCCAACAAAAAGACGAATGTGTCTTGCGAGTCGAACAGAGTTTCCTAATGGCCCCATTATCCAAGGGTAATGTTGATAACGTTGATTCAACCATAAACTTACTATTAATTTTGGATATTGTGCCGAATGGGTATCAACCCATCCTTACCCACATTATTTTTCTTTTTCAAGTTAAATCTCTATAAATTATTTGGAAGATCTGTTCGAATCTGTCCTCAGTGATGAGGAACTACTAGAGCTAATGGATTGGGAACGACTACATAATTAGTGCTATTATATACTCTCTATCCATGGTTAGGTTAGGTTAAGGTTAGTTTAGGTTAAGGTTTCGTTTGATTAGGTTTGGTTTCACTGCGTTTGGTTACATTAATACGCTGCATTATTGACTATAATGTGAAATATGGAATTTGAAAATTATTTCAGTGTGCCCGAGAATTTTGCTTACAGAAATCCAAATTCTTCAAAGAAAACGTTCTCAGCATACACTTTTTATATTGTAAACCGATTATTTAAATTAAAATAACGTTATAACTTGAAAATAATCTCTGCTTACGACAAAGGTTCATTTACCAGTTTACAGGGAGACTATTACTGTAACCGTAATATGCTTTCAGATCATCACAAATAGCTAGATAATTATCCAGGTTGTTTGAAAAGTTGGGGTTGAGGGGGCCTCTCCCCCCCCGTTCTCATGGCAATGGACTTGCTATGAGAACGAGTTCCCACATTTGAATGTATTTGCAGAGTCTAGATTGCTTGCAGAGTCGAGTGCTAGCTCCTAGTCCCCGTTTTTCGTTTAATGCGGTGACCTACTTTCATCAGATTTTCAGATTTTAATTTGAAATTTTGTTTTGAGTTGGCCAGAAATCGCTCGGTCAGTTATTTACAACTGGTGTTCTAAGGATATTTATCATCACCTCAGTATAATGTATTTGTATTTTTAATTTTTAACATTAATTCTTTGTCGATTAATTTATAGTAATTTGTATGTCTTGATCATATTCCTTGTGCTATTTCTGTTGTTTGGTGAGATTCAGTTAGATTAGCCTTTCTCTGCAACTCCATCCAGTCAGATATAAAACAAGGCGGGTCACTGGCTTGTTTAAGTATCAATTTCTGATTTCTTCATTATTGGTATCCAGGCCGTGGCTGTATACTCGAAGCTAGGCCTCAAGCAAGACGTTCACAACATTCTAAATTAATTTTTAACGCCTAAATTTAAAGTTATCCAGGAATTTTGCCGAAGCTTTCGTACAAATATATGATATTTGTGTCAGGTTTGCATTACACTTATCTTACAATATCTTACCAATTCAAACATCATTCCCCTTCTTTGATTCGGAAATATCCCCTTTCTTTATCCTGTAATGCCTGCGGCGTCTTCACGCTTCTCCTCACTTCCTCATAACATTGAGCAACCATCTCTGAGCGTGTCTACTTTATCTTACGGTCAACCGCAATCCTGTGTCTCCGCGCGTGGCTGTGTCCTACTAGTGTAGCGAGCGGCTCTCAGGGTATCAGCTACCTTGCTGAGACTCGCTAAACAATGCTACCTCAGACTCTACTCTGACTGATGGCGTTGCTGTGAAGTTCGCTCTCTCTCTCTCTCTCTCTCTCTCTCTCTCTCTCTCTCTCTCTCTCTCTCTCTCTCTCTCTCTCTCTCTCTCTCTCTCTCTCTCTCTCTCTCTCTCTCTCTCTCTTTCACTATCTGCATTATTTTTCTTTGTCACCAATTTCCCGACTAGTGTGTTTGAGAGGACTCTGCCTACTAGGGATACACATAATAAGGGTTATAATACAAAGTCCGGGATTATTTATTTAGATTTCAGCAATAGTGACAAGCGGTGCTTCGAGATAGGTGTATACCAGGGTATACTTAAGCACAGGGCCTGGGATAGTTGTATATCCAAGTACACTGAGCTCAGTCCCTTGGATACTCAGGTATACCCTGAACTCAGGTCCTGGGATAGGTGTGTGTGCCTGTGAATTCCCTGAGTGAAAGGCCTGGGACAGGGGTATACCGGGCATATACACTGAAACACAGTGCCGAGATTAGAAGCGACGGCACTAGAGGGACGCTGGAGGCAGAGGGAAGGGGGGACGGCGTCCGGCGGTGGCACTGTTTTTGCGATCCGACCGCCAATTCACAAGTGTTGTGTTGATTGTTCGGCGGTGATAATGTCAGTTGGGGATGGTGCCAGAGCTATCTTCTCTCGCTCTCACTCTCTCTTCTCACACACACACACACACACACACACACACACACACACACACACACACACACACACACACACACACACACACACACACACACCAGCAATATTAGTCCTGTTTTATCCAATGTAAATGCAGGGAAGCCGAGGATCAACCAAGCAAACAATTTAAAAATAAAATTGCATTATAAGCTCAGGAAGGAAACAAACACAAGAAAGAGAGACGAGGCGTCTTAACAAACTAAGACAAGTGGACACCTCTCTGAGACTGATAGAGGTAAACAAAAGCTTTTAACAACTGGAGAAATTTATAACGGCTTGAACCCACAAAGCAGCGGGCGACTTGGCTCTGAACAGGCTGTGGAGGTCAGTCGCTGAGAGAGAGAGAGAGAGAGAGAGAGAGAGAGAGAGAGAGAGAGAGAGAGAGAGAGAGAGAGAGAGAGAGAGAGAGAGAGAGAGAGAGAGAGAGACTCCTACACAATAAAAGAAGCCACGTAAAAGATGTAATATGGTTATCTACACAATGTTAGGGTGCAAAATACTAGTATATATTTAAACATCGTACTTCTCCCCCTTTTTTGTTTGACATCTGTACAAATCCGTATTTCCAAGTCTCATCCTCCTCCTCTTCCAACCCCCACCTCTCACTCTCTCCCTCCCTCTCTCTCTCTCTCCCACACTCCCTCTCTCTTATCAGCTGTGGAATAGACTTTATGTACATAGACATTACTCTAAAATAGAATGTTTTGTTTTCGGTAAACACCTTCACATATAGTCTGCACTCTGCTGTATAGTGTATATTGGAGTTCAGGTGATATTCAGTACCTTTATCACCTGATGATAACGTTCATCTACGTTGAATTATGGTCGCCCTGGATGATGTCTGACATTCCACAGTGTCATCACACTTAATGCTCCTAATTTAGATGCAATAAACCTCAGCATCAAAGTTTCGATGCTTTAATAGATTTACGAGCACCATGACCTTGACGCTTACTTTAAATAAAGTCACGTGACTAAATAAAGCTTATTTAGTCACGCGGGATGTTTAGATATAAACGCCTGTGCTTAGACCAAAACCACCTCAGATTTGACGTTTATCAAATCATAAGAACTGGATGAATATTCGACTAATCTCCCTCGACTCTTCGGCGCCAGCAGCAACAGGACTCAGCGTGATTACATGGGAAAGTTACCGACCACGCCCCTAGCAGGTGAGCGGGGCGCTTATGGTCACAGCTTAGTGGATCCTTACCCACTTAAGCCGCCACCTCCCTCCCTCAGCCATACACCATGTAACCCAAGTGTACCTGGGTATAAAGGATTATATTATATATATTATATATATTATATATATAATATACTGATTTGGTTGGATGTATATACAAATCACTTTTGGAATGGGTTTCCCAGACACACAAACGCAGACTTATTATAAGATAATGTGAAGGAACACGAGAACCTACACAGCGTTTGTTAGACCAACATTGGAGTATGCAACACCGGCCTGGTATCCGTACGTTGTGAGGAATATAACTGAAATCAACAAGTCTAGAGGATTGCATCAAGATTAGTACTGGAACTAAGAGGGCTAAGCTATGAAAATATAGGTTGAGGGACTGGACCTCACTACCTTTTAAAACAGAAGAAACAAGAGATGCGATCACAGCATACAGAATAGTGAGGGAATAAGCAAGATAGACAATGACAGCCTCTTTAAATTGAAAGTAGAGCAAGAGGACAGAAGTGGAAGCTGGAAACACAAATGAGTCGAAGAAATGTAAGAAAATGCTCTTAACAGATATTCAACATGCGGAATTCACTGGAGAAGTTATGGAAGCCACGTCTATCCAAAACTTTAAGGCCTGAAAAGACAATTTGAACGCCAGAATAATTAAACTGTAACGCAACAGGTACAAAAGGCTAATAGGGCAGCATAAAGAGCTAGACCTCACTTCTCTGTAATCACTGGTGGGTAAGCACCATATTATAAACTCGAGCCTGTGAGATGCGATATACCCAGGCAGGTCAGAGCCATAGACTTTCCCCTAAGCTGAGAAACTCCTCCAAATGGTTGGCCAGTGCAGGTCACTTGTCCCTGTAAAGCTGTGAGAGAGAGCTTTAGCATCACTCAGCTAGCGCTTGATACAAGCTATTCAAACCTTCGTACAGTCTGTTAAGGGTGTATAAATGCAGATGCACCTAAGAATGTTCATACAAAATAGTAATCCCCATGAAATGATCTTATTTCTGTGCATTTCGAATTAAATTCTACTTGCTCTGCGCACCTGTGAGTTACTTGACAATGTAAAAAGCCCTTCTTATGTAAACTTTATGGGAGACATATTTCTCCAGCCCATGCAAGTATGGTAGTAAGCCAGACTTTAGTGCTTGTAATATGTGTTTAATAGCATATTATTGCGTAAGGAGCTCTGTTGAATTTGTTGGGGTATGAGAGAGAGAGAGAGAGAGAGAGAGAGAGAGAGAGAGAGAGAGAGAGAGAGAGAGAGAGAGAGAGAGAGAGAGAGAGAGAGAGAGAGAGAGAGCTGATAAAGACCTTTCGAGGTAAGAGTCAGGAGAGATCAGGAGATCGAGAGAGCTAAGCTATGACGATAAATTTAGTGTATTTGATAAAACACATCCAAGATGGACTACGTTATATAACGTTTTATTTACAAAACCGTACAAAAACTTATTTACAGGACTAGACAAGGTGCTGGGAATACAGGTACATTTTCGCACTCGTGTGAAAAAATATTTCTCAACTGTTTTTGGTATAAATATGAACAAATTGGTACGTAGATATGTTCACACAACTTCAGTGGAAATTACCCCCATGGATCAGATATATGTTCACACAGCTCCAGTGAACATTATCCAAGGATCTCATATATTTTCACACAGCTTCACTGAGCATTATCTAGGGATAAAAGACATGTTCACACAGCTTAACTGAACATTATTCAGGGATAAGAGACATGTTCATACAGCTTCACTGAACATTATTCAGAGATTAGAGACATGTTCACACTGCTTCACTGAACGTTATTCAGGGATTAGAGACGCTGGGCAGGCGGCCTCGGTGTGCTTGTTGAGGAGAGACATTCTGGAGAAGGTCTTGTGGCAGGTGACGCATGCGTACTTCTTAACGTCAGCGTGGGTCTGAAGGTGGGCCCGCAGGTTGCTGCGGTCAGCGAAGCACCGGTCACACTGCGGGCACTGGAAGGGTTTCTCCCCGGTGTGGGTCCTGATGTGGCCCTGCAGCAGCCACGGCCGCGAGAAGGCCTTGCCACACAGCTGACACTTGCACGGCAGCGTGTGCGTGCGGATGTGCATCTTGAGTGCGCCCAGACTCGTGTACACTTTCTCGCAGTGTTTGCACGCAAACGACTTGGCACCCAGCGCTGCGCAGTGGAACTGTTTGTGCTTGCTCAGGCCAGAGTACGTTGAGTACGACTTATTGCACTCTGCGCACGAGTACCGCGCCTCGCCACGACTGGCGGGACGTTTGTCTTGGAGGGTCGTCTGCCAGCCATGGTCGGTGAGGTTGAGATGTTTGGGTAGAGCTCTGCATCTCTCCGGGGACTCTCATATCTGGGAATCTTAACCAACTTGCCGTTGTTTGTACAGAAGGTTTATGCCCAACTGATGGACTGACCCGGTCATTGTCTATTCTCGAATGGCTGATATCGTCGACCAGGGGAGAGTTAACAAGTATGGCAGTGTGTGGCCTGGGTGTAGCTATGTGTATTCCGGGTGTGGCTGAGTGTGGCCTTGGTGTGGCCCTGACGGGAGGCAGCAATCTCCTGACTTCACAGGTTGGAGGGCTGTGACTATCTCGACTGGTTTCTCTTGGAAGTGAGTCGGGGCTTGTACACGTACTGGCGGAGACGCTTGGGTTAAAACTGATTCTGCTTTCTGGATCAGGTGTTTCGTTCTTCAGGGACTTGAAGTCAGGTATTTGATTGTTCGCGGGTTTAACGTCAATTGTTTGACCGTCCTGGTGCTGGGCGTCTGGTGTGCGACTTTGTCGACCTGCGTTCGTCGATTCTCTTTCTGATTCTGTTGAAGCATGTACTTTCTTATCATGTGTGCTGTTTGTTTCCGTTTGTGTTTGAGGGCATACACCATGTGCGTCAGGGAATTGTAACTCACGCACGTGCACGCGTGAGTGCGTCGTCTCACCGTATACATAGGGCACACGCAAACGTAATCGCTGCCAATCGCAACAATTCACCGGTGGAACATGCGGTTCTTGCGCGGGTCTCGCCAGTGACTGCGGCTCTCTCGTGCGAAGGAGGGACGCTGGAGGGCAATGGGCGCATGGGTCGTGCGTGCGTATGCGGGGTTCTTGCACGCATGGATCGTGCGTGCGTGTATTGGATGAGCTATACGCCTCTCCCTCAAACTTCACACTCAGATCCTCCGGTTCTGTCTGCTCGTTTCCTGTTGATGAAAACACATTGTTGTTCATATCATAACTTCCTTAAAGAAATGCATATATATAATTGTAAGCAATCTGCGACAATTCGGTTAAATTTACATAGTAATTAAAGCATATTCGGAGGTCCCGTAAACTATAGACATCTGATTTGAATAGACTGTGTCCGGATAATGACCGCCCGAAGAGATATGACAGCCGGGAACCTGAGACAAGTTCAACCATGTGGGCATCATATTAACCATGACATCTTTACCTACTCACAGCGTCACGGACACGTTGAGATACACGCCCACGGAGAAGTGCGCTATTTGGATACAAGACCATGCTGTTCTGGTTGGATACAGATCTGTGAAGTGCTGTCTCCGTTAAATATAGGACTATTGTATGCTGACCCCGCTTCCATAGTCGACCATGCTGTGGTGGTTGAATGAATGATCGTAGTATGTTCTCCCTGGTGGATATAGAACCATGGTATGCTGTCCCAGGTGGATATAGAACCATGATATGCTGCCCCAGGCAGGTATAGAACCATGGTATGCTGTCCCAGGTGGATATAAAACCATGATATGCTGCCCCAGGCAGGTATAGAACCATGGTATGCTGTCCCAAGTGGATATAGAACCATGATATGCTGCCCCAGGCAGGTATAGAACCATGGTATGCTGTCCCAGGTGGATATAGAACCATGATATGCTGCCCCAGGCAGGTATAGAACCGCGGTATGCCGTCCCAGGTGGATATAGAACCATGATATGCTGCCCCAGGCAGGTATAGAACCATGGTATGCTGTCCCAGGTGGATATAGAACCATGATATGCTGCCCCAGGCAGGTATAGAACCATGGTATGCTGTTTCCGTTTCGATACAGCACCATTCTGTGCTGGTAGGATACAGCGCAGAAGAAGCTGCGTTGTTTGGGCATAGGTTACATATATTACATCCATCAGACTGTATGAACGTCTCTACAATCTTAAGGGTTTGGATTCCTTGTTCAAACGATTACATGGTTCAACTAATTACAAGTTCTCGGCGGTTATAGCACAATGCGCGCGCATTCTACGGACACGCTCAGCACGGGTCAAGGGCCTTGTAAAGTTGTTAATATTATTATTATTATTAATTAAACACGTTATCATTTATTAAAATGTGAATGAACTCTATACATACACTGAATACGAGTGTTAATATTATATAATTAGGTTATTATTATGAAGTAAAATGAAAAATAAAAAATATTTTCTTAATAAAATAAAAAAATGAGAATAAAATAATAATGAATTTCATCATAATTAAAATATATAAAGCGTATCTGTAAGGAATTTATTTAAAATACGATTGTATGAATCAGGCAGAAAAAATACAATTAATAAATACAACTCAAGAAATAAACTAACAAAGGGGGACGCTATTATTACTAATGACAAAAAAGAAAGAAGCGAATATTCAGCACCAAATATATGCTAAACAGAGGACTTACAAGGAAAAAAACCCCACTGGTTGACTACAGAAATGAAATATACTTCTCTCATACTTATCAATGATGTAAAAGCAAGCTGCTTCATACTTATCCATGAGGCACAATTATCAATGAGGTTCATAAGAGCAACATCATCCTTGTAAATGAGGTACATAACATCAACCTCATATATAAAGAAAGCACCGTGTCACTCATCACCAAAATTCCTTACAAATAGGAAAAAGTATCTAGGCATTAGTCTCCATAGGAATTTGAAATAATATTTTAAAAATATTACACACGTGGTAAGTTGAACTAAGGTAAGATAATTATGAGTAGAAAGTGCTAAGCTTGTATGACACGTGGAATATATCTAGCACATGGAAGGTATATGACAAGTAGTTGGGATATGAGAACAAAAAGGTGGGAAATGAGGACAATTAGCTGGGGTATGAGGACAAGAAGCTGGGATATTAGGACAATTAGCTGGGGTATGAGGACAATTAGCTGGGGTATGAGGACAATTAGCTGGGGTATGAGGACAATTAGCTGGGGTATGAGGACAATTAGCTGGGGTATGAGGACAAGAAGCTGGGGTATGAGGACAAATAAGCTGGAATACGAGGACGCGCATTTGAGATATAAGGATGAAGTGAAGGAATTTAAGTTACCGAGAACCGACCCAGCAAGGTGCGGAGGAACCTCTCAACCCGACCATTTCAAGCGGCTGAACAAGGCAATTAGACCAGACACCACGAAAACAGCAGCTATAAAGAGATCTTAAAAACCGACTGCCAAGTTCTTACATCGAACCATGGGAGTCATGTTCCAATACCACTGTCGATTGGAATTAGTAAAATAGACAAAAATAATAATCCGGAACAAATTAGGTCAACAAAATACAATGGAGCATATAATTGTATGTTATAATACTTATTGGTGTCATAATTACATTTTGTAATTCATTAACCCTTATTAATGTAACTGTGAATTAGATGTAATCACAAAATAGGTAAAATGCCAGTGTAATACAATATATGAATATGATTATATATATGCATATAAATATATGAGTATATATTATATATAAATATAAAGACCATACACAATAACGGCTCATGTTACCAACGATCAACAGATGTATATTATGTATATAATTTATGTATATGATTTATTAACAATATGTCAAATAAAAAGTGTCAGTAAAATTCTATAGAAAATGAGAGACTGATAACAGCAATAAGAGAGAACTAAAACAGAAGAAAAGAAACAACAGAGGACTTAAACAGAAGAAAAGGAGTACAGTACTAGTTAGATATTAATTAAACAAGGTAAAGGATGAGATAAAACAATTGGAAAAGGTTCCATTATATCCGAGAGGGTGGTAGTAGTAGGGTGGGTGGTGGTAGTTATAGGGTGGGGAGGTGGTTATTGGGTGGTAGGGTTAGTGGTTATAGGGGAGGGTGGAAAATAAGAGGTACGATTACAGGGGGGTTAATTCGTGGTAAGGATAGTAATGGTTTGGTAGATATGAAGATAGTGAATGCAGGTGAGGGGGAGGTAGTAATTAGGATGATAGTGAGGGAGGTGAATGGTGACGATGTAGGAAGATGATAGGTAATGCAAATAAACTAATGACCGAAAAAGATGGTATTTACACCGTTAATTGTGTTAATTCTAACAATACTGAACACCAGGAGGAAACAGAGCTAATATTTACAATCACTCAACTAAATAAATAATTGTTTAAAACCTGTATTTAGTGATCTTGGAAGAGATGAAGGTTAATTATTTTTTTTCTGAGTTATGGTTGATAATCACCCATCGTGTCATGTTAATGAATGGTGTCATTTACACCCATTTGAGTCATCTTCACCCATTGTGTTATCTTCACCTATTGTGTCATCTTCACCTATTGTGTCATCTTCACCTATTGTGTTATCTTTACCTATTGTGTCATCTTCATCTATTGTGTTATCTTCAACCATTGTGTCATCTTCACCTATTGTGTTATCTTCACCTATTGTGTTATCTTCACCTATTGTGTTATCTTCACCTATTGTGTTATCTTCAACCATTGTGTCATCTTCAACCATTGTGTCATCTTCATCTATTGTGTCATCTTCCTACAGTTACCTTTACCTATTGTTTATCATTAGTCAAAAAACACACAAAACACAGAAACTAAATACACACACACACAAAGACACTACACACGCACACACACACACACACACACACACACACACACACACACACACACACACACACACACACACACACACACACTTAAGAGTACTTAGTGTGACCTTTCATTTTGTGTAACGTGTTGTTCCCATACACTAGTTACATGTTATTGGTGCGGATGTATAATACAAATAAAGACCAAAATAGATTACCTGTTGCATTATACGGAACGGAGAGCGGCCTCTTCTTCAAGGGACAGCTAGAGTAGTCACTTTTTAAGACGACCATCGTGGGGGAATGTAGAACACACACGAAAGTAATTAAGAACAAAAAACGTTCTGTCGGTGTGTTGAAATAATAATATTATTGTTTTGGTTCAGTCTGGGTCGCCTGGAGGTCCTTCAAACATGGTAGGATAATGCGCTCTGTGTGACCACGACTGACGTTCGTGTTTGACTGAATTTGGGGAGAACCTCATACTGTTTTCAGATGTCCCTCCCTCCCCCCGGGTGACAGGAGTTGCCAGTTCGTTGTGGGATAGGGGCGGATTTTAGCATTCTTCGTATCTCTTTTATATAGTATCCAATTCTCGCCATTTTTAAACCCGCCTATTTACCTGATGTTGATAGATATTCGGCATAGGATGCACAAGATTCAGATGAGGAAATTAGAGATGAAATATGCAAATAAAAATGCTGATATGACATCTGCTGGCATACTCAGGGAACACGTGCCGAGCAACCAATCAGTGGGCAGCCACGTCATGGACCTTGACCAATGAGCGTCTCTCATTAGCCAATATACGATGAAAAGGACAGGTATATAAATTCTGATCAGTGTTTAATATGTCTAAGATGTTATGATAACGTTGAGTAATGAGGCTTATATTTGCTCCCTCAGTTGCCCCAGAATGTATAGCAATAAGGGGAGAGAGAGAGAGAGGGAGAGAGAGAGGGAGAAGGAGAGAGAGAGAGAGAGAGAGAGAGAGAGAGAGAGAAGATAGAGAGAGATAGAGAGAGGAGAGAGAGAGAGAGAGAGAGAGAGAGAGAGAGAGCGAGAGAGAGAGAGGGAGGAGAGAGAGAGAGAGAGGGAGAGAGAGAGGAGAGAGAGAGGGAGAGAGAGAGGGAGAGAGAGGGGGAGTAGAGGGAGAGAGGGAGAGAAGAGAGGAGGAGGAGAAGAGATAGAGGGTAGAGCGAGAGAGAGAGAGAGAGAGAGAGAGATAGAGAGAGAGAGAGAGAGAGAGAAGAGAGAGGAGAGTAGGGAGAGAGAGAGAGAGAGAGAGAGAGGGAGATGGAGGAGATTGAAGAGAGAGAGGGAGTAGGGCTAGAGAGGATGAGAGGAGAGAGGGAGAAGAAGAAGGTAGAGTGAGAGAGATGAGAGAGATGAGAGATAGGAGAGAGAGAGATCTAGAAGGGAGAGATCGAGAGATCGAGAGAGAGAGAGAGAGAGAGAGAGAGAGAGAGAGAAGCGATATCGAGGAGGAGAGATCTTTTTAGAGAGTCGAGAGGGAGGAGGGGGAGAGAGAGGGAGAGGGAGAGACATACAGATTGGAATTAAGGACAGATTAGGAGGAACAGGAGAGAAAAATGGAAATATAGAAGTTGAATGATAGTAGAATGAGAAGGAAAAATATTTGAATAGAAAGAGGAGGAGAGGGAAGAAGAAAGGTGTAAGAAAGGAGGTAGGGGCAAAGGAATGGGGAAGGAAGAAAGGGAGGAGGGGTCAGGAGGAATAGAAGACAATAAGGTTGCATCCGGTAACCGGTCCAGATGGTTCCCTGCACCCGACTCTCTTGTGTACTCGCCTAGTTGTGCATACAGGGGTTGAGCTTTGGCTCTTTGGTCCCGCCTCTCTGTGTATCTGTATTTATTATTTGTGCCTGCAGAATCGAGCTATTAGCTCTTAGAGAGCTAGCAAAGAGCCGCCTTTCTAACCAATCTATTTTTCCTCTATTATATCTGCTACATATATTTCTCTCCAACACACACACACACACACACACACACACACACACACACACACACACACACACACACACACACACACACACACACAGGGAAGCAGCCCGTAGCAGCTGTCAAACTCCCAGGTACCTATTTACTGCTAGGTGAACAGGTGCATCAGGGTGAAATCAGTCAAATGAACAGGAACATCTGGGTGAAAGAAACTCTGTTCATTTGTGTCTTCCTCGGCCAGGAATCGAACCCGGGCCCTTAGGACTGCGACCCCTAAGCGCTGTCCACTCAGCCGTGAGGCCCCTTAGTATAAGTGTGAGTGTATCACGCAGGCGGTGAACAATGTTCTGACTGTCTGCTAACTGAAGTTTCTTGACTGTTGATCTGATTTTACCAGATTAGAGTATAATGTTTATGTTATCCTATTTGCATGTGCTTCTGAGGTAAGATTCAGTGTTTCTGTGTTTGTCTCTTTGTTGATCAATCTTTGTTAGTCTGTTTTTGTTCAGCTGTCTGCGTAAATGTGTGTTTACGGCACCTAGCCACACACAGAGCTGCACCTAGCCGCTGCTGGGCGGCATCTAGCGACTATTCCTATGATCTCCTTGCTAGATGGCCCTCTTCACAATCTGCTCTAGATCTGCCCTTTTTGGTGGCATCATCGCTCAACGTACATAGTTTCACAATACATAGATAGAGGCATCACTGTACATAGTTCGCTACATAAAACGTGCTTCTTGCTTTTTCTCTAATACTGTGGGTTTCAGGCACCAGCTTGTGCTGGATGCTGCTGAACTTCAACAGTTGAGCGATCTTAAGCGCTGCTGACTTTCTGTCCGACACTCTGCATTCATCTTAGAAATCACTGAAGGCTTCGTTTCCTGAGCACCTGTCGGATGGTCACCTGTGCTGCACGAGCATGATAAATCACTTCAGTGCTACGTCTACCTTGCAAGGCTTTAGCAAGAACAGAATATAAACAAAATTAATACCAGCTATACATTTCTTGTTGTGAGGACTGATGTCTTGGAACTGTAGTAGAAGTCGGTTTTTGAGTTAGGAATCAGGCCATCGAGCGTGATTCCAAGGTGATCCAACCTGGACGTTTAGAGCAAGTTCAATCATCCAATTTGAGCAATTTGATGCTGCTACATCCGGATCTGTCTACTCAACGAAGTGAACCAATTCTGTGAAGACAGTAATTCTTTCCACCAGTTATCACCGTCATTGATTCTGGTATTCTTGGCCTCCTAGATTGATTATACAAGCCCGCCAAGTACTTATGATTCTAAGTGGTCTTTATAAACCCATAATGTCGACCACAGTGAGAGTGGTTAGCAGGTCTGTATCTTCAAGAAGTGATCCACAAGTGATCCATCAGTTTAATTGTAAGATTATGGCTTTGTGCAGTCCTTCAAAACTGCCTGCTTGTCTGCAGAAATAACACAATATCCCTTGGACCATAGTATCAGTAACTAATGATCACTACCTAGTTCAATATGTTATTGGATTGAAAGCACAATGTGTGATGGTATTGCTTGCAGTGAGCGACAATTGAGGCTTCAGATATCACACATCGTCGGGCGTCTCTAGCTAAAGGGACGGTGGAATATGACCCAGCTCAACTAGTTCTGTAAATATTTTCTGCCAGTTGAGTGTGTAAACACTTCGTTCCCCGTCAATTGTATCCCAACCACTTTGGCTGGACGGTAGAGCGACGGTCTCGCTTCTTGCAGGCTAGCGTTCAATCCCTGACCGTCCAACTGATTGGGCACCATTCCTTCCCCCCCCCCCCATCCCATCCCAAATCCTTATCATGACCCCTTCCAAGTGCTATATAGTCGTAATGACTTGGCGCTTTCCCCCTGATACTTCCCTTCCCTTCCCCGTCAGTTGTGTGAAGGTGTTGTTCTTGTCCTCACTAATGATGATGATGATCAGCTTCCCGGTTGTCTCCGGTACGTACTGGAGGGGTTGGGGTCATCTTCACGATGACACAAAGATGACACAATGCTGACGAGTCTGAAGTATTTACAAGTAGACATGTAAACATGCAGCCATCGAGACGCGCATTGAAGGATCTATTGGTGTGTGAAATGAAGACGTTTGTTGACGAAATAGGCGGAATTAGATCAGTTTTTATGCACAGATCAGTGGGGTTTTGTTCTCCAACATTACACGTTGATACCATACTATTGTGAAGGAGGAAATGTATATGTTTACCTCTCAGAATGTTTGGTAATGTGTTTATTTGTGATGTGTGTCTATGTATATATTAACACGTTGTACTGAATGGGGTGAGAATAGCTTGAGTTACCTCATCCCTTTGTGTGTATTTTACCTCAATAAACTTATTTCAATTTCAATTTCATTTACACGTATCTGTACTTGGCAACACTTTCACCACATGATGCCATTATGTATAGTTTAGGTACCAGCGTACAATTTTTATGCATTAACTTCCTCTAAATTCATTAGCTTCGCATGCATATATCCCTTGAGTATAATAAATATAGAAGTGCTTAGTATAAGGTTAGGTTGTAATATATGTAATCTCCGGTGCGATGTTTTCTGTGAACTGATCACAGTAGAATCTTCTATGCGCAGGCAGGCGCATAGAGGAGACATGATCACGACGTGAGGGATACTTGAGCGTGTGGCAGGGGTGGATGGAAACATGGAAGGGTCTGGAGCAAGGGGACGGGGATAGATGCGTGTTGTCTTAGAGAAGTTGGGGCGTATTAGATGATAAAGCCAGCATGAAGGTAGTAAAGAGCTACGCACTGTCTTATGTACCCACACATACTTACAGGATTAAACGTACCAATCAGAGAAGCAAAATTAAAACACACACACACACCTGCACGCTTTTAAAACTTATAATTTTAAAAGTAGATAGGATATGGAAATTCGTGGTTTAATAGGGCATGTCCGAGGTGTGTGTAAACCGTGGATTCACACGCACTAGGGGACACAGGTGGAAATTGAGTGCCAATATAAGCCATATGGGCATTAAAAAGAACTTTTTTTTTTTTTTTTTTTTTTAGTGTCAGAATAGTTGACAAATGGAATGCATTAGGAAGTGATGTGGTGGAGGCTGACTCCATACACAGTTTCAAGTATAGATATGATAGAGCCCAATGGGCTCAGGAACCGCTACATCAGTTGATTGACAGTTGAGAGGCAGGACCAAAGAGCCAGAGCTCAACCCCCGCAAGCACAACTAGGTGAGTACACACACACACGCACACGCACACACACACACACACACACACACACACACACACACACACACACACACACACCACACACCACACACACGGCAGCTTGCCTCCTGACAGCCTGGGTGATAGATCAAGAGAGGTTCATCTACAGAAAGGAATTCCTCCTCGAGGAATACTATACCATCTCTCTCCCACGGTCCTCCCGCGCTTTCAGTATGGTGCTTCACCTCCTCCCTCAATCGACCGCCTTACTTCTGACC